TCTCTCTCTCTCTCTCTCTCAAAATGTCCTCGATTATTGTGTCACGACGCAGAAAAATCAGGCGCTCGTCCATTTTTTGTTTTTATTATTTGGCATTATAGAGTTCTTGATATCATCTTTAAGCTTGTTCATTTGCCTTGCTTTTGATAAGAAACATATCCATTTATCTTGAATTAAAAACCGTGAAATTTGCGAGACTGAAAGAGGTTGGGGTAGATCTAGGTGGCGTCAGAGGCAAAATTAGCGAGAAAATGGCCGCCGCAGTGTGCTGACTTCCGCAGCTTGAGTGTCCTTGAAAACTGCAAACCCAAGAAGCATCATGGTGAAATCAACCGCTCGTCAAAATAATGAAATCAAAGAAACTGGAATTTTTTTTCTGGCCGTTGGGCAATTTTTTTTCTAACTTTCTGTGTTTAGCTGAACATTTTTATATCTATATAAAAACACATTTCTCAATGGATTTTTCCTTTAAAAACGTTAATTAAAGGCACCAAATTTGTAAATTTTCAGTGTCCAAGGACTCTCAAGCTATAGAAATTACCAAACTTTGGCGGCCATTTTCTCGCTAATTTTACCCCTGAAACCAGAACAACCTTGACTTCCTTCAATGGCAACTATTAAAACTTCTATTCTACATTGATAAAATAGAGGCAGCGTGGTGGAATCAGGCTCTCGTCAAAATAATCAAAGTGAAGAAACTTGCATTTTTCCGCAGCTTTGTGAATTTTAGTCAAAATTTTGTTTTTTGGCACAACACCTTTCATGCCCATTAAAGAACTCATTTCTGTTTGGACTTTTCTGAAAAGCGTTGATTAAAGGCATAAAAAATGTAAATCTTCAGTTACCATGGACTCTTAAGCTAAGGAAATATCTAATCTTCGGCGGTCATTTTCTCACTAATTTTACCTCTGAAAACAGGTGACCCCCACCTCCTTCTGTAGCAAATATCTCGACTTGCATTCAAAATAAATGTATATTTTTTTTAATTCCAAATAAAGAAAAGTGAACAAGCTTTACGATGATACCAATAACTTTAATTGCCCAAGAATTGACGAGGGCCTGATTCGACCACGCTGCCCCACATATATTTTTGTCACCAAAAGCAAGGCAAATTAATAATCTTTTATATTATGATACCAATAACTTTATATGCCCAAAAATTAACGAGCGCCTGATTCCACCACGTCGTTACACATGTTTTTTTTGCGTGCCATTGATCAACATTATTTTAGTAAAATCCACTCAAAAATGTGCTTTCAGAAGGACATAAAAGGGATTCAGCTCCCCAAAATAGTTCGATAAAAATTGTCGAACAGGTGGAAAAAATGTCTATTTCTTCGTTTTTATTTTTTGACGAAAGCCTGATTTTGCCACAATGACTCACATTTTTTTCTTGAGATGATTCGACACCAAGGCCATGCTATTCTTTTGCCCAGTTTAGTTTACATCGGAGCAAATAGCTCTTCTTTTCAAAGAAGACCACACACACACACACACACACACACACACACACACACACACACGCACACACACACACACACACACACACACACACATACACACACACACACACACACAATCACAACACTCACACACACACACACACACAATCACACACACACACACACACACACACACACACACACACACACACTCACACGCACACACGCACGCACACAAACCTAGCCAAATGTAAGCTGTAAAAGAATCCATAAGTCAACGTACACAGTTTTTGCAGTGTTTTTCCCTACTCTTTCAGATCACTGTGTTGAAAGTTTTTGATTCCTCAGAAAACTGAAGGCTGAAAACTATTCAACCCCACCTCATCAAATATGTGAGGCAGCGTGGTGGAATCAGGTTCCCGTCAAAATAATGAGATTGAGAAAAACAAGTTTTCTCCCTGCTTAGCATTTTTTAAATCAAGTTTTTGTTTTTTGGCTCAACCCCTTTTATGTCCATTTACAAACACATTCATTTGAGGATTTCACCGAAAACGTTGATTAAAGGCACAAAAGTATAAAATTACAGTTTCCATGGACTCTCCAGCTTTGGAATTTACCAAGCTTTGGCGCCATTTTCTCTCTAGTTTTACCTCTTAAATCAGGTGACCCCCACCTCCTTCAATCCAAAATATCTCCTCTTCTATTGAAGATGGATGGGTAATTTTTTCATTGAAAGCAAGACCAATGAACAAGCTGTAAGATAAAACCAATAATTCTACATGCCCCAAAATTGACGAGAGCCTGATTCCACCACGCTGCATCACATATTTAGTTTTTGAGAATATGTTTCGAAACAAAATTTCATGCGTGCTTTTAAATGATTTGAAAACTTCTGATGACCGTATTGTTTTTGTATTTCCTTTTTTGATGATGGTGATGATGATGATGATGATGATGATGATGATGATGATGATGATGATGATGATGATGATGATTTTTTGTTTCCTTAATGGGCCTGGCGGACTCCATGAAGAAACCTTCGAGCCAGAGCGAGACTCTCTTTCAGCTCCATTGTCGAAAAACTTAGAGGCACCTCAACTCGTCCAAATAACTCCATTCGAATTGCCATAATTGTTCCTAGATGATGATGATGATGAAGATGATGATGATAATTATGATGATGATGATGATGATGATTTTGTAAAATTGTTCCCGGTGAAGCCATACGGCAAAACGTTGAACGTATTTATATGAAATGTTTCAAAATCCTAGATTAATCAAGTCTCAACATTTAATATTCTTTGTTTACAATGATGATGATGATGATGATGATGATGATGATGATGATGATGATGATGATGAT